CCCCCCCCCCCCCCCCCATTTTCCAGTTTATGTGACTGAGAAACTGAGTCAGAATCCGGTGGGGAGAAGGGACTCCAGCCCGGCGAGAACAAAGACATGGGGTGGCCAAGACCGAGCTGACCCTGAGGCGGGAGCCTCACCTCGCGGTTTCGGGAAAGCAGGGCGTTGCGTCCGGACCCTCGGAAGGCGAACACGCCCTGGTGGAGGGGCCTCCGACGCCTTGCCCACTGAACCCACACTCCGGCGCGCCCCCATTTGAAGGATAAAGACGGAAGTGCCGGGGTCGGAGGTGACTCGCGCCGGGACACGGCAGCCTGGGGGGAGTGGGAAGTAGACAGTCCTTCCGGCGACCAGCGCTTCCCCTGGGGATGTAGCCTGGCGTCCACGCGCCGGTGCCCCTCTCTGCACCGCCCACCCAGGCAAACGCCAAGCCAATCGGGCCCGGGGGAGGGGGCAACGTCGCTCTTCGGGCCTCGCCCCCCTCGAGATAAGTCTGGAATGTCAAATATTTGCTCGCGGGGCCGGGCGCCGCGGCGAGGTCAGGCCCCGCCCCCCCGGCATGCGCATGCGCCGCGCGGAGTCAGCCCTTTCTTCCCGGAGTTGGTCCCGACTCCCGGCTCCGCTTTCCGCGCAGCGGCACCTCGCAGCCCCGGACTCTCCTAAAGCTGCCCTGGCGCACATCGCTCCTCGTGGGCTCTTCTCCGGGCTGCGCCTTCGGGACCGAGCCCGGGCGCCCCCCGCGGGCCATCCTGGCGCTGCTTGATCGCTGTCTCACCCATCCTAGCGCCCCCTTGCGTCCAACCTCTAGTCCGCGTTTGGCTTTTCCCTGTTCCGCGCGGGTCTCCACGCTGGCGCCTCCCGAAGCCTCCCTCTCGAGGTGAAGACCTTCCCAGCGTAGCATCCCTGAGCGCATTCCCATGGAAGACGCCTTCATGCGTGTCCAAGTCCCTACCGGATAGTGAACCTGAGCCAAGGGGCTGGCAGCGTGCGTGCGGAGGCACCCGCAAACCCCCTTGCCTCCGTCCGATCGACCGCCCGCCCGCCGCAGGACAATGCCCGAGGCTTGGATTCTCCTTGAAAAACTAAATTAGTTAAAATACCCTTAAGGATATTTTAGTGTAGTAGCCCTGGCCAGTTGGTTGAGCATCACCCTGTGCACTGAAAAGCCACTGATTCGGTTCCAGTCAGGGCACATACCTTGGTTGTGGTTCAATCCCTGGTTGGGGCACCTATAGGAGGCAACAGATCAATGTTTCTTTTTCTCATCAATGTTTCTCTCTCTTCAAAGAACACTTCTTCTCTCTCCAAAGTCAATAAGAACATAAAAAAAGAAAAAAAATGAAATGGTCTAGTATTTGCCTATAACCTAAGCACGTCCTGACCTGCACTTAAAAAAACAAAAACAAAAACAAAAAACTTTTTAAAAAATCCTTACTCCACCCAGGATGCATTATCTATCTATCTATTTATTGTTAATCCTCACCCAAGGATATTTTTCCATTGACTTAGAGTGGACCCTGCTGTGTTGATCTCTTTTACTCCCAAACCACACCATTAATACTACGCATCCCGCACTCCTGCCCCTCTACTCGGCTCTCACATCTCCTTTCCCCCAGCACTAAACCAACTTCTAACACAGTAAGGCATTTATGCCCTTGCTGGTTTGGCTCAGTGGATAGAGCGTCAGCCTGCGGACTAAAGAGTCCCGGGTTTGACTCCCGTCGAGGGCACATGCCAGGTTATGGGCTCAATGCTATATATATATATTAAATTCCAGAAAGTTACTCCCTAAAAATACAGTATAAAAATTATTTACATATCATTTCCATTATACAAGGTGTCCCCCAAAATATACACACAATGTCTGTAGATTCCATTACATTTTGAAAATGAAATGTATTTTAGTAAACACTGCCTTTATAATTATTCAAAGTGTGTAGATACAGTTTTGGGATACCCTGTATTAGGGATAAGTAATCTAGAGGTGATTTAAAGCTCGGATGGGTCAGGGCACATAACCAGGTTTTGGGTTTGATCCCCAGTCAGGGGTATGCAGGAGGCAAGTGATTGGTGTTTGTGAGAGAGTGCAATGTTTGATGTTTCTCTCTCACATCGATGTTTCTCTGTCTCTCCTCCCTTCCACTCTAAAAGTCAATGGAAAAATATCCTTGGGTGAGGATTAACAATAAATAGATAGATAGATAATGCATCCTGGGTGGAGTAAGGATTTTTTAAAAAGTTTTTTGTTTTTGTTTTTGTTTTTTTAAGTGCAAGTCAGGACGTGCTTAGGTTATAGGCAAATATTAGACCATTTCATTTTTTTCTTTTTTTATGTTCTTATTGACTTTGGAGAGAGAAGGAGGGTTCTTTGGAGAGAGAGAAACATTGATGAGAAAGAGAAACATTGATCTGTTGCCTCCTATAGGTGCCCCAACCAGGGATTGAACCACAACCAAGGTATGTGCCCTGACTGGAACCGAATCAGTGGCTTTTCAGTGCACAGGGTGATGCTCAAACAACTGAGCAACACTGGCCAGGGCCACTACACCATTTTATATATCTCATTTATATATATGAGCATCCGGATAATTTTGGTATGGGGGCATTAGGAGGAGTGGGGTCCTGGAACCAACCTCCCTGAGATACTTAGGGAGCATTATAGTTGCTGAAGACCCAGTGAATGAATGGCTGGCTTGCTTGTCTGCCTCTGGGCATTCCAGCGATAGCCATTTTTAGCCATTTTCCCGGAGCCAGAGGCTCTACACTAGTGTCTCATCTGCTCTTTTCACTTCCCTAACAACTCACCCTTGACCTGGTTAACAGTGCTCTTCCTCCAGGTTTTCCCCTCAAGGCACCGCCCTTTGAAGCAGAGATCCCTACAGTAGTTTGAAATAACTGTATTTCACTGATAAGCCTCCCACTTCACTCTCACTAGGACTTAGGAATTATGAATGAATGAATGGAGATAAGGTATGCCGAAAGGGTGAGTGAGGCTCCAGCGGTCCTGCCGGATGCCTTTCCCAAATCGTTCTCCAGGTATTTGGGAGAGAGGACCTTGGTCCCTCCAGCCTAGCCTTGCTCTAGGAATCCCATCCTCGCTTCTTCCCCTCACTTCGTGGCAGGACCCGAAGGGCAAGTCCTGCCGCGAAGGCAGCGAAGGCAGCGGACGCTCCTGCCGCTGATATGGGCAGATGCCCGGTGGTGAGGCTCCAGCGGTCCTGCCGGATGCCTTTCCCAAATCGTTCTCCAGGTATTTGGGAGAGAGGAACTTGGTCCTTCCAGCCTAGCCTCGCTCTAGGAATCCCATCCTCGGGAGTGTGGCGGGTCTCGTGGGCCTCCGGGGAGTCTAGGAGTGGTGTAAAGCCTCCTCCCTGGCCAGAAAACACCCTGCTGAGAGAGGATTCGCCGCTGGGTGCCAGCTGGTGTCCCCCGCGGCGATCCACACGCGCTGTCCCAGGCCCATCCCACCCTTAGCGGGCCCGGCTGAACCAGGCTACCTGCCTTTTAAGAGTCCCGGGTTTGACTCCCGTCGAGGGCACATGCCAGGTTATGGGCTCAATACCCAGGTAACGGGCTCAATCGCCAGTAGGGGGCATGCAGGAGGCAACCAATCAATGATTCTCTCATCATTGATGTTTCCTTCTCCCTTCCTCTCTGAAATCAATAAAAAATATATATATTTTTTAAAGATCAGCCACTATTGTTTCCCTGCTCCAGCCCCCACCCATGAGAACACCAGATTCTTGAGGACAGGCTCATTCCCAGCGGCTCTCACTGGGCCTGGGACATAGTACAGTTGGCCCTCCCAAATCGAGGCTCTCACCCATCCTAGCGTTTGAGGTTCTCACCCTGGATGCAAC